GACCTTTTTTCAATAGGTGGAGATTATATCCTGTAGAATTACTTAACTCATTTTGTTTAGAGTTATTTTTCTTATTTATCTTTCCTGTTTCTTTTTCTAATAACTTCTCTGCTCTCAAAGTTTAAAAGATTAGGTTTCTTAGCAATATTTTTGGATGAAAATGGGAGAACCCAGTTTTGTTTTGTTTTGTTTTTAAGAAAGATTCTCATTTGGTAAGGCAATTTTCATCTTCTTGTTGCTATTAAGTGCCATCACCATTGAGTCAGTTCTGACTCATAGGGACCCTGTGTAGGGTTTCCGAGGAGAAGCTGGTGAGTTTGAACTACTGACCTTGTGGTTCGCAGTCCAGTGCTGATCCTATACCAGGAGTCTATTAGAGTTATAGAAAATTTATAACTAATAAGTTTGAAGGGAGCATCAAAAAGTTTGTGGAAAAATTCGATTATCTTTTAATTCCATTTCCTATTAACTTTTTGTTTTGTTATTATTATTTGATTTCTTTTTTCTGTTTTTTAAAGTACTTATTGAGAATTGAGTAATAGTTTACATGGGAGAACATCAGTTTTGCAATAAAATGTTATCTTGTTTCATTGCAGTGATTACAACCCTTCCATGCATCATTGGGTAACAGTATTTGCTTCAGTTCTCTCTGTTTTGTGTTTGTATTATGTACACAGAAACAGGCAGGAAAATATAATTGTTTTAACAACCCAAGAGCACATTCTGCAAGCCAGCCTTCTGGCTGCCAGCACACAGCCTTTCTCTTTTCTTGAGTTTAGTGCCCTCAACCACTGTAACTCTTCATGGCATCACCTCTGCCTCCATCTCCGGTATTGCTGCTTTTCTGCTTAGGGTTCCTTTTTCTACTCATGCTATTCTCTATTGATGGTCCAGGGTCCTCTGTTCCTAAAATGTAAGATTAACTACTCTACCTTTTTGTTACACAAATTCTAGCTTTACAGTTGTGACAATTGCAATTAGTCACAATAACAATTTATCACTATTGCATTACAAGAATCCTATCTCCATCTCCTTTCATCAGACCCATCTAGACAAGATTAAAATTACTCAGTGGGGATGCTACCTTCCCCTGCAAATTCTAAAACTAAAATCCCTCTTGAAAACTTGTAAGACAACCTCTTTGTACATTTAAACAACCCCCCCCCCCCATTTTAGGTAGCCATTATCTAAGTTGACCGTCCTTATCAACCCTGTCTACAGAGGGGATAGGCTTGATCCTTGTGAAGAGTTCTTCACTCTTGATTGGTATTTTGAGTTACTACATCCATAAGTATAGGTCCAGCTCATCAAATTTTAGCAATTTGAATTTGCTTCCTTTATCAAATTTCTTTATCTTAAGGAGCTCTGGTAGCTTAGAGGTTACGACTTGGGCTGCTAACTTCAAGTTTGGCAGTTTGAAACTACCAGCCATTCTACTGGAGAAAGATGAGACTTTCTACTCCTGTAAACACTTACAGCCTCTGAAACTCTGTACAGGGTCACTATGAGTTGGAACCAACTCCACAGTACTTAACAACGACAATCTGGTCGAGTTTGGATCATCAAACCGTCAAAGCTAAGTCAAGTGGAAGTGGGTACTATCTGCAAGTTTAAGCATTCTTGTGCATCTTCTCCCACTTCATATCAGGTGGATCCCATTAACTTTTTGAAGTCCCCTTGTATAGTTCAACATAATTTGTTTTTTTTCACATTTTGGTTTAAATTTTTAAAATGTGTGGAAATGAGATTTTGGGATAAAATCTTCAAAGCATAAAGTATATGTGAATATTTACATAATCTTGTCTTTATACGACGCATAATGGTTGTGGTGGTGGAACCCCCAAGTTGCTTCTAACTCATAGCAACCCCGTATAGGGCATCCAATGTTGTAAATCTTTATGGGAGCAGAAAGACTCAGCTTTCTCACTAGCAACTGGTAGATTCGAACTGCTGACCTTGCAGTTAGTAGCCCAGCTCATAATCCACTGTGTTGCCAGGACTCTATAAACGTAATACCAGAAGCAAAAAACGATAGGTCATGAAAGAGATATAGAGAGATTTGATTAGATAAAAATTTAAAAGTTAACTTATATTGCAAAAATTCCATAATTGGAAAATAGACACACACTGAGGGGGAAAAAATTAACGAAGGGCTGATATCCTTAGTATTTAAATATGATTCTAAATCATAAGGACAATCATACTAATAAACTTCCTTCCCAAAAACAATAAGCAAGTGTCAGAGAAGAATATAGGATCTTCAGTAATTTTGCTACTGTTCAAGCAAATGCAATATAAAGCTTGGCTGTTGTGTTGGCTCACCTTCCTCCTCCTCCCCACCAAAAATGGAAATACCATTTTTGAAATGAGTTGTTCTAATATGTCAAAATCTTTCTAGAATACAATTTCCAAAAAGTTATCAAAAAATTTCATTGTTGTTTTTTCCAGTATGTATTTTGGTCTAGCAATTAGTTATAAAAATTTTTCCTTAGTGTCTAAAAAAAACCCAAAAAAACAAATCTAGGTAGGTTAAGATTAATTAACCAAACCTATTGCTGTATAGTGAATTCTGACTCAGAGCTATCCTGTTGTACAGAGTAGAACTGCCCTATAAGGTTTCCAAGAGTCCTGGTGTGGCACTGTGGGTTAAATACGCTAGACTGCAAAGCCGTTTGAACTGCAAGGTTGGTGGTTCAAGCTCACCAGCTGCTCCTCGGAAACCCTATATAGGGCCACTATGGGTGGGAACCGACTCAACGGCACTTCACAACAACAACAATATATGGTTTCCAAGGCTGTAATCTTCAGGTAAACAGACTGCCACAGCTTTCTCTTGTGGAGCACCTGGTGATTCACACGCCATCCTTTTGAGTAGCAGTTGAGTACTTACCCATTGTGCCACTGAAACAACTGTGCCACATGGGCTCTGGACTTGGAGCCTTATACTGTTATGCTGAAAAATGAAATGCTAGGGATTCGTTAACATGATTATAGTCACACATTGTATTTTACTGGGAAGGAAAATACTCACAGATTGTCATTAACTATACATCAGTATTTTGATTATGATGTTGTTATTGTTAGGTGCCATCGAGTTGGCACCAACCCATAGCAACCTTATGCACAGCAAAATGAAACACTGCCCGATCTTGGGCCAGCCTCACTACTGTTGCCACACTCGAGTCCATTGATGCTGCCACTTGGCCAATCCATCTTGTTGGAGTCTTCCTCTTTTTCTGTGACCCTCTACTTTATCAAACATGATATCCTTCTCCAGTGACTAGTCCCTCCTGACAATATGTCCAAAGTATGAGAAACGAAGTTTGGCCATCTTGGCCTCCAAGGAGCACTCTGGCTGCACTTCTTCCAAAACAGATCTATTAGTTCTTTTGGAAGACCATGGCATTTTCAAGATTCTCCTCCAACACCATAACTCAAAAGCATCAATTCTTCTCTGGTCTTCCTTATTCACTCTCCAGCTTTCACATGCATATGAGGTTATTGAAAATACCATGACTTGGGTCAGGCACACCTTAGTCCTCAAGCTGACGTCTTTGCTCTTCAACACTTTAAAAAGGTCTTGTGCAGCAGATTTGCCTAATGCAATACGTCGTTTGATTTCTTGACTGCTGCTTCCATGAGTGTTGATGTTAATCCAAGAAAAAGGAAGTCCTTGACAACTTCAATCTTTTCTCCATTGATAAGAATGTTGTTTATTGGTCCAGTGGTGAAGATTTTTGTTTTCTTTACATTGAGATGTAATCCTCTTTGATCTTCATCAGTAAATGTTTTAAGTCCTCTTCACTTTCAGCAAGCAAAGTTGTATCATCTGCATATCACAGATTGTTAATGAGTCTTCCTCCAATCCTGATGTCATATTTTTCTTCATTTGATGGATCACATTAAAAAATATATGTAATTTAAATGCCCAGAACAAAACAGGAAATGGTTATATGAACTAAATTGAAAAGTTCATGTGATTAAAAAAAAAGCAAATTTGAGTGATTTTAATTTGTTCTATTTTCTATATCCCAAACTTCACCAGCGCTCCTCTGAAACCTTGTACAAGGTTGCTGTGAGTCGGGACTGACTGAATAGCAACTAGTCAACAAACAACCAGTGTATTTTTTGGGAGTGTTTATTGTTTTGGCAGTAAAACAACAGCATATTATAAACGTGACACTAATTTAACTTACAGCTTAGATGTGTGTACCGTAGTTGTGATTGAATATTGAGGGAAATGGTTACAAATAAAGTTAATATTTGGAAGATGTTATTTAAATAGAAATTTGGTGCCACCTTGTTCACATCTTTGCGCATACCTACCAATGTGGGAGTCCTGGTGTGGCTCTGGGTTAATTTGCCAGACTGCAAAGCTGTTTGAATTGCAATGTTCGTGGTTCAAGCTCACCAGCTGCTCCTCGGAAACCCTATACAGGATCTCTATAGGTTGGAACCGACTCGATGGCACTTAACAACAACAACAACAACCAGGGTGCAGCTCGGTAGCGTAGTGGTTACGAATTGGGCTGATAACCTCAAGATAAGCAGTTAGAAACTACCAGCTGTTCCACAGGAGAAAGATGAGGTGTTCTGTTCCGGTAAAGATTTATAGCCTTGGAAACCCTATACAGGGTCGCTATGAGTTGGAACTGACTCCATGGCATACCACCTCCACTACCACCAATGTGATACTATAGGATAAGCATCAGACTGCAAAGCTGATTTGAACCACGAGGTTCGTGGTTCAAACTCACCAGCTACTCCTCAGAAACCCTACAAAGTGTCACTATGAGTCAGAATTGACTCGACAGCACATAACATCAATGTGTAGTAACAGTCCTGAAGTGTGTGGAAACTTGTTAATGTCTGTATGCTCTTTTAATTTTTGATTTATTACCTGTACATATAGAAAGAAAGAAAAGCAACTAAACTATAGTCTCTATTTTTTTACCTCCTAGATAGTTACTTTTGGAAACGTTGGCATATCAGTACCAGAAATGTATCACTCCGTGTCTGAAACTAGACATCCTCTGCAGCCAGAAGAACAAGAAGTGGGTATCGACCCCTTGTCAGGCTACTCCAAGTCTGGAGGTGAGTTTTGTATGTAGATGCTTACTTTTGGTACTGCACAGCTTAGCAGAGAGGAGGCTCCAGTCTCCATGGACCAGGTTCATGTAGTCTCTGAAGGACGTGGAGCAGGGTACTTGAAGAATATTTCCTTGATGTGTGTAAGAGCATTCTGACACTCATGAATACCATAGTCAACTTTCAGTTATAGGCAACAACATTAACCAAATGGTTAATGAGCTGGCATGTATTATTTTTAAAAAGTAGTAAATCTAACAGTAACTTCAGCATTAGAATATTGAAATGCAAAATGGCCTTTGGCAGAGTGAGACACTGTAGCATAAGCACTGGCCTTCTAACCACAAGGTGGGTGGTTCAAACCCACCAGGTGCTTCTGGGAAACTTGATGCAGGAATGCTGTGAGTTGGAACCGATTTGCCAGACTTAACAATAAGCTTTATAATGTGGAGTTAGCAAGAATTACTCTACTACCCTTACCCTACATCCCCCAACAGATTGAGATTATTCTAGGATATAAATGACTTGCCTGATTCTCCTTTTGTTTTGGGTAAATACGTATGTAATGAAACATTTTCAACATTTTTTGTATGTATAATCTAGTGACATTAATTAAGTTTATCATGCTGTTCAGCCATCACACTTAACCTGTTTCGAAATTTTTTCATCCCTTAATAGAAGCTCAGTGTCCCTAAGCAGTTAAGTTCCGCTTTTCCACTAACCAGCCCACCCCTATAAACCTCAGATAAACTTTGGTCACTATATACGACTTATGTTTCATATAAGTGAGATCATGCAAGATTTGTCCTTTTGTGACTGGCTTACTTCACTCAGCATAATGTTTTCAAGTTTAATTCATATTGTAGCATGCATTCTCTTGTTGTTTGTTGTTGTTAAGTGCCACCAACTTGGTTCCAATTCATACTGACCCTGTGTAAGGTGTTCGAGGAGCAGCTGGTGAATTTGAACCATTGACCATACAGTTCAAATTGAACTTTCAGTCTAGTGCTTATCCTATTGGTAGCTTAGCACTGTTCTAGTGTTTATACATATATTTAAAAAAAAAGTTTTATTGTGAATTATGTGATAGTTTACATGGGTGTACATACATTTTATATAGATAGACATCTGTTGAACATTTAAGCTATTTCTACCATTTGGCTATTGTTAATAGTGCTGCATTGAAAATTGGTGTACAAGTAATTTTTCACAGTTGCGCTGGATGATGGTTTCTATTTCTCCACATCTTCAGTAAAGACTGTTGTTTTCTGGGGGTTTTTTTTGAAGCCATTTTAGTGTGTATAAAGTGATAATCTCATTATGTTTTGGATTTGCATTTCTTAATGACCCATGACATTGAGCCTTTTGTCAGGTGTTTATTGTCTGTTTGTTTTCCTTTTTTTCCCTATTTGATCTATTCAAGATTTTGTTTATATTTTAATTGGGTTGTATGTCTTTTTGTTGTTAATTTATAGGAGTTTTTGATGTAACTGAAGATTATACTTCATAAGGTGTATAGTTTCCACAACTTTTCTCCCATTCTGTAGGTCCTCTCTTCACTTTATTGACAAAGTTCTTTGATGAGCTAAAGTTTTAATTTTGGAAAAGATCTTATTTTATATTTTATCTTTGTTGCTAGTGCGTTTGCTGTCATATTTAAGAATCCAAGCCATTACTATTAAACTTTCTTCTAAAAGTTTTATTGTTTACGTTACAGTCCTTGGTCTATTTATTACTTTTATTTTAATTAAAATTTGCATCATACTTTAAAAGATCTATATATTTGAACTGTTAAAAGATAGAACTTTCTTATGTGCTTATGTTAAGATAGATTACATTATAGATCTAAAATATACTATTTAAAATGTTCAAATCTCTATGTATCTGAAATCTGTTATTATTTTCTCAATAGTCAGTAATGATATAGTAACATTTTTTATATGGAAACAGTTTATGAAAATTCTTGAAGCCTTATTCTTGTTTTTAATTAATTCATAAAATATTTGATGTTTTGATTTCTTGATCACTTAGAGTATTTTGCTCATGAAATCTCAAGAGTGTGAGATATATTTTTTTTAATTGTAGAGTGGGCAAAATAATTTACATGTGTTCAGTATCCTTTTTTAAAACCTATTTTACATCAAAATCTGTTATTTAGATAAAATATCTGTGCATTAAAAAATTTTTTATTCTTACTTAGAGAGGTCATTTCTTTAATATCCAAGCTATAGATTTTATAAGAGTTCAGTCTTTTTTGCATGGCTTTAAAAATTTTTGTGCATCTTTAAAAATGCTGTTATTTTTATTGATAATAGTAGGTTTTGTCCTACAAAACAAATTAACAACAAAAAGACATACATATTTTAGTGATTTAATCTTTAATTTTATATTTGTTGTTGAATAATCCAAAAAGACTACTGTTTAAGATTCGATAAGCTGAAAAAGTTATTAGTGCCCATTCTAATTTCTGCTTTTTCATAAGTCAGCTGTAAATATAATTATAGTGATGCTTTTTCGTAGTGATGCTTCCTCTTAAAACAATACCTGTAAAGAAACATTTACAATTAAATTAATGAAATTATTTTTCAAGCAGTGTTTCTATAAGTGAATAATTTAAAACTGAGTATGTATTTGTGTTACAAGTTTCTAAAATTGTTTCATTGATTTGTTCAAACCATATCAGACTTATATCTTTTTTTATAGTATAGTTTTCTGTGTGTGTGTGTGTTTAAGTACAAATTTTTCTCTGGTCTATTTCATTGAATATTGAGGGTTGTTTTTTTTTTTCTTAACCCGGTTAAAAAACATTTTAAATTAATTTTATCTTTTATTGTTTGCAGGAATGAGTAGTTACCTTTACTGAAAAGGCTTTTCGTTTATATCCTAGCCTAACATTTCTATGACATACAAAGTTATTAGGACTGAATTGATGTTTAAAAGTGCCATTAATTCATTTACCCCAAATGTTCATTAACAATGTAAATGTATGCTGATGTTCTATGAGACAAGGAAGTGACTAATGACTCTTCCAACTAACAACACTTAAAATGAATAGAAACTTTAGATAGCTAATCTTGAAGTAATCAAGACCCTCATTCAGCTTGGCATCTCTGTATGCTCTAAAACAGCTGTCAACTGTTAAAAATATATACAAAACACACATACAGCCTGCACACACACATGCAGAAAGAAAGATATGTAAATATCTGGTTCTTCAAAGCCAGAAAGGTTACTAACCATAGTGAGTTTTGTGCATTTTATGTAAATATTTTATATAAAGCATCTATTTTGTCCTCTTAGATTTCCTTTTTGCAGAAAAATGTGTGTTGCATTTTAATTTGGTTGTCTTATTTATTTAAAAGAATAACCACCTTTTTGATCATTTCTTTATGTTAATATGTCTTTCATGAAGTTTTTTTTTTTTTTTTAAATGAATTTTAAGCCTTTCAGCCATTTTTGCCCCAATCTTTTTGGGAATATTGGCTACAGAATAAATCATTTTATAACTAGGCAAACACTGGACTTAACATCTGTGGTTTCACTGTGTAGAAGTCTTGTGGTTATTTTTTTCCTCTTATATTGATTCTGTAAGAAAACAATACATCTCTAATTTCTTAAATGGAAAATTTGACATTTATATAGAAAAAATACTGTTAAGTGATTCTCGGAATTCTGCAAATAATTAGTGAAAATAGCCACATAAGAGAAATGACAGAGAGAAAACTGTGTATTATCAGTTTATTTATTTATATGTATTGTTAAGGAAAGTGGGAGAGGAATAGAAAAATAGAACTATCTGTATATATAGATAGAAAATCGTATGAGATCTTTTCCACAATTGAGTAAAGGATTAAATCATTCTGTTGAAGGTAATATGGCCAGAATATTAAGGATGTTGTCATCTTTTCAACTTCAAATTCTTCCCATGGTCTAATGAGCTGTAGTCTTATTGTTGCTAATAATAAAATCCAAGCTCTTGACCATGATGTGCAAGGCTTGCTTCTTACCTACTTAGCCTGGCTCAGATGTGCTATGTCAGTTTTACACTCTATAGTCTTTTCATGCCAGTGTTCTCAGTCATTCTCTATTCCTTCACAGCATTCACCATAATATATAGTCCTTCATTAATTTATTTCTTAGTTTTTATTTGCCGTCTTGTCTAAAGTGTAAACTTTATGAGAGCAGGAACCATATTTGAGCCATTTATGTGCTTAGTACTTGGCACATGGTAACTATTCAGTAAATAATTTGCAAATGAATGAATGAACTGTGTTTTATTGGTTTGAACTCCTCTACTCACATTAATCAATAATTGCTTAATGTATTTTTATACCGTCTAGATTTCTTCTATTTTTCCTAAGTTGTAATACATGAAAACTTTGCTTTATTGTCCCTGTTTATTCGTGTTGTTGCTGTTAAGTATCATTTAGGTTCAGACTCATAGTGACCTTTAGAGAAGCAGCTGATGGATTTGAACTGCTGACCTTGTGGTTGTCAGTTCAGTTCTTATCCTACAGATCCACACCAGAATTATTCTAATATTTGAATAATAGAACCTCTGATTATTCTAGTATTTGAAACTTTCTTCTTATTAGCTTCAAAAGTTAGTATAGTCTCCTCTTTCAACTCCCTCTTAAAATTAACTCTTGCCATATTTCCATTTAATTGTCACCCATATCAAAGCTTTCAATAAGGACCAAGGGAAGAGAATTCTGGCAAATAATTGTTAAGTTATGATCCCCTAATTAACTTTCTGCAAAAGTCAGCAAGGAAAAGCTAAAAAAAATAAATAATTACTTGTCCAAGAATTGGGAGCATAGGCTAAAATATATTATGCTTGCATGTAATATGTAAATTTTATATACATAGCTCTTAGTGAACATTTATATTGTGTTGTGAAGTCTTGGTTTCTTAACCTTATGTAAGCATATACAAGCCAAAGCTAAAGAAATAAATAACTTCTTGGCTAGAACTGGGAGCATAGACTACTATGAACAATGCTTATT